GAAGAAGAAGAAGAAGAAGAAGAAGAAGAAGAAGAAGAAGAAGAAGAGGAAGAAGAAGAGGAAGAAGAAGAAGAAGAAGAAGAAGAAGAAGAAGAAGAAGAAGAAGAAGAAGAAGAGGAGGATGAGGAGGAGAAGAAGAAGAGGATGAGGAGGAGGGAAAAATATGAAGAAGAAGAGGACGAGGAGGAGAACAACAAGAAGAAGAGGAGGATGGAAAAAGATGATGAGGACGAGGACAAGGAGGAGGAAGAGAAGAAGAAGAGGAGGCGGAGGAGGAGAGGAAAACGAAGAAGAAGAGGAGCGGAAGGAGGAGGTGGTGGAGGAGGAGGAGGAGGAGAAGAAGAAGAAGAAGAAGAAGAAGAAGAAGAAGAAGAAGAAGAAGAAGAAGAAGAAGGGCACTGGTGGACTTCCTTCCCGGCTATGGGGGTTGGTTGCGGCGAAGCGGGCTGGCAGGGCGAAGCAGCTGCAGAGAGAGGTCGGTGGCGGGCTGGAGACGGGGCGCTGGCGCTGGTCGCCTGATGGCAGCACATGACGTCGACACGCATGCAGAAAGGCGCGACGTCAACGTCATGTGTTCTTGCTGTAGCGTGAGGCACGTGGGGCGGAGGGGCGGAGGCAGCGCACGGTACTTGATCCAAATTTCAAAACGTTGCCGATTTCGGCCGCAGATCCACAGATCTGCAGTCGACATTGACCGTGTTTTCAAATTTGAAAACGGGGGCCTACCGGACCCCGTTTTCGTTTGGAAACGTGCGGCCGATCTCCACTGTCGATCTGCGCCGATCGGCTGGCGGAGATTGGCCGCACGTTCCCAAACAAAATCGGGTTCCGGTAGGGCCCGTTTTTTTTTCTAACTGCTGGCAGCGGCCTCCCAGAGGCTGGGCGGGGACGGGGACGCCCGAAAATCCCCCATACCGCCCCCCAAAATGACTGCGCCGAATTGAACCGGGGGCCTGCCGGGCCAGTGAACCGCCCGGTCGGACCAGTAGGCTCCCGGTCGGTCGAAGGTCCCCCGGTCCATCTGGGGACCAGCACTGCCGGGCGTTCTATTCGGGTAATGAAGACGGTAGTCAGATTTCACAAATACCTTGAAAAAAAAATTCAGACTAATCAGGCCGGTAAAAAATCAGAAGCCTCCATCCAATTCAATGGCGAACCTCATCTGTGGCGCTACAATGGCGAACTCATCCGTGGTGCTACGGGTCAACAAATGGCTGCACAGCCGAAGAAGAAGCAAGAACGACCCTAACCGCTCGGACTTAAGCGTAGTATGTTCCGGTAAGGAGCCACAACTTGACATGCTTCACTGCCTAATACGCTATCGAGAAGCGACAGAGTACTGCCGTCTTCACCCGAATAGAACGCTTGGTCTTT